TAAGGGTGGGAGATTGTCACCGTCTTCTGAGGGCAGCACGGGCTGGTCACGGAGCTCCAGGTGCAAGCGGGTCCCTTCCTCTCGGTGAATGCTGACGTGCCACCGCAGGACTGCCTCCGCCCTGGCGCACTCCAAAGGTCAACAAGTGCCGAAAACTACCACCCACAAATTCCTGCATTTTCTCACTTCCAATGTCTTCTGGAAAAAAGAGGGCTTTTTTTTTTAAAAAAAAAAAGCACTCTCACAAAACTGTGCATTTTATTATTATTATTGTTTAAACCCTTCCTGAGCATTTAATGCCAGCAGAATGGCACTGGAACCAATTTCATTTTCTCTGAAACACTTTGCTCAGATTTCAGCATTGTGCAGAACACTACAACTAACTAAAATAAATGAATTATTGTGCTGGGGACAGGATATGCATGGACAACCCGTTAGAAAGTTTTTTCCAGACATACAAACCCCTTTTTATTCTGTGCACAGTACAAAAATTTTTTAGCCACAGCGTTAAAGGAAATTTGAGACTACCTAACAACACAAACAGTACCATGTCTTCAGGAGAGCTGCTGCAGCCAATGCAGAAAAGTGGGTTTTTGAGTAAATATTAGAAAAATATAAATATAAAGGAAGTTCAGGAGGAATTCATGAAAGAAGTCTGTTTACAAAACCTAGCTTCTCAGTAGCTGGAGACTGTACATCCTTAGTCCGAATTTTCACAAGAAAAGCACAGAAAAAAAAAAATAAAACCCAACAAAACAGCACACGAGGGAGTGTTAAGTCAGGACAAGCAGTGCTAGACAGAGCCAAGGATACACCCAAGACTGCTTTGCTTATTGTCAGTAATCAAGGGAGATCACTGCTCTTTAATTACACTTCTTAAAAGTCTAAACTAGCACGCACCTATTAAATTTGCAGCTTTCAATTTTCAATTTTAAACACCTTGCTGTTTCTTATATCTTCAGCACCTGTATTTCACATACATTTCCTAGCACTGGGCTTCAAATAAGCTGTTTTATATTTAAATTATGTGTTTCCTCGAATAGAAAACCTTTTGCTATTCTCCTAAGACTACGCAGTATTATATTCATTAAATTTATGAAATCATTCAACAAAACAGCCAATGTCAGAAATGGATGAAACAACATCTCACCACCAAAGAAGCAATACAACTGCCATACTCCACACAGACCTAATTCTTCCCCTCACAGACTTTATTTAGGTATATATGTATGTACAGACAGAAGATAAAATTCAGGGACTAAGGCTTAAGGCTGCACCAAGTCCTTTATGGTACAACATTAAGATTGCAACAACTGTGAATGTGAAATACAATAGCTGAGATGAGGTAATTACTCATTATTTATGCAAAAAAAACCCAAAAGCAAAATGATGGATTTTACTAGCACTTTCACTGAGATCTAATCTGCTGTCAGAGATTTCATTATGATTCGCATTTCCCAAAGACTGGGCAATTTCAATGCCATTATTGTTGGACGCCCAAAGCACTTATTATGTTAGGCACCAGGAAGTTGCACAAATCATACAGTAACAAAACCAAAAACTAAAGCAAGTTTCCTGGCTTAGAAATCCTGACAGGTTAAGGAAAGGCTAAACAAAAGCATAAAGCAACCATGAAGCAGATATTTTGATATCTCTGTCCTCAGAGGGAGCTCTGGTGCCAATTGATTCTGACGCAAGTTTCTGCCCAGGCAGATGATGGAAACGCCGTCATTTCCCCAAGCAAACAATTCCAGTTCTTCACTGCCTGCAACTGCTCAACTAGGCAATAGGAAAAATGTTCTAGACTCTTCTGGTAAGAATTTAATGCCCTTTACTTGTTCTCTCTAAGTAGCAATGGGAAAGACTTTGTTACCTACATCTACACGAGATCATTTTAAAGCTCTGAGCTTCAAGCCGAGGCAGGAGACATGGATATCATGCCCTGCAGTACGCCGAGAGGCCAGGTTTGAAGGCTAGTGTCTAGATTTATTGTCAAGTGATTCAAACAGATTGGTCCAATTCTGTAGTCCAGCACTTGACCACCAGAGACCTGCCAAAACTGTAACCACCATTTATTTCCCCCCCTTCTAGCATAGAATCATAGAATCATTATTAAGGTTGGAAGAGACCTCCAAGATCATCGAGTCCAACCGTCAACCCAACAACACCATGCCTACTAAACCATGTCCCTAAGCACCTCATCTACACGTCTTTTAAATACTTCCAGGGATGGTGACTCAACCACTTCCCTGGGCAGCCTGTTCCAATGTTTAACTACTCTTTCAGTAAAGAAATTTTTCCTTACATCCAATCTAAACCTCCCCTGGCGCAACTTGAGGCCATTTCCTCTCGTCCTTTCGCCAGTTACTTGGGAGAAGAGACCGACACCCACCTCGCTACAACCTCCTTTCAGGTAGTTGTAGAGAGCAATGAGGTCTCCCCTCAGCCTCCTTTTCTCCAGGCTAAACAACCCCAGCTCCCTCAGCCGCTCCTCATAAGGCTTGTTCTCCAGACCCCTCACCAGCCTCGTTGCCCTTCTCTGGACACGTTCCAACATCTCAACATCCTTCTTGTAGTGAGGGGCCCAAAACTGAACACAGTATTCGAGGTGCGGCCGCACCAGTGCCGAGTACAGGGGCACTATCACTTCCCTGCTCCTGCTGGCCACACTATTTCTGATACAGGCCAGGATGCCGTTGGCCTTCTTAGCCGCCTGGGCACACTGCCGGCTCATGTTCAGCCGGCTGTCGACCAACACCCCCAGGTCCTTTTCCGCCAGGCAGCTTTCCAGCCACTCTTCCCCAAGCCTGTAGCGCTGCATGGGGTTGTTGTGGCCAAAGTGCAGGACCCGGCACTTGGCCTTGTTGAATCTCATACAGTTGGCCTGGGCCCATCGATCCAGCCTGTCCAGGTCCCTCTGCAGAGCCTTCCTACCCTCGAGCAGATCAACACTGCCGCCCAACTTGGTGTCGTCTGCAAACTTACTGAGGGTGCACTCGATCCCCTCATCCAGATCATTGATAAAGATATTGAACAGAACTGGCCCCAATACCGAGCCCTGGGGAACACCGTTCGTGACCGGCCGCCAACTAGATTGAACTCCATTCACCACAACTCTCTGGGCCCGGCTGTCCAGCCAGTTTTTGACCCAGCGCAGAGTACACCTGTCTAAGCCGTGAGCCGCCAGCTTCTCCAGGAGAATGCTGTGGGAGACGGTGTCAAAGGCCTTACTGAAGTCCAGGTAGACCACATCCACAGCCTTTCCCTTGTCCACTAGGCGGGTCACCTGGTCATAGAAGGAGATCAGGTTGGTCAAGCAGGACCTGCCTTCCATAAACCCGTGCTGGCTGGGCCTGATGCCCTGGTTGTCCCGCACCTGCCTTGTGAGCGCCCTCAAGATGATCCGCTCCATGATCTTCCCCGGCACTGAGGTCAGGCTAACAGGCCTGTAGTTCCCCGGATCCTCCTTCCGGCCCTTCTTGTAGATGGGCGTCACATTGGCCAGCCTCCAGTCGTCCGGGACCTCCCCCGTTAACCAGGACTGCTGATAGATGATGGAGAGCGGCTTGGCTAGCTCCTCCGCCAGCTCTCTCAGCACTCTCGGGTGGATCCCATCCGGCCCCATAGACTTGTGAGCATCCAGATGGCGTAGCAGGTCGTTGACTGCTTCCTCTTGGATTATCGGGGGTTCATCCTGCTTGCCATCCCTGTCTTCCAGCTCAGGGGGCCGAGTAATAGACAATATCCCGACATTAATACCCAAGACAAACTCTTTGGAAAAGTAGTATCTAAATTGGCTCTAATGCACCATTTTAACACACATCTTCATGACACCTATGACCAGTCTGCAGCGGAGAGTAAACATGCTTTACTACTTCCTAGGATTTAGCCTTGGGGTTAGGGAAAATCCCACAAAGTCAAGTTCTGAATACAGGACCTCACCGTGTAGTTCCTCCTATCTGATGGCAAAGCCACCCTAGAATTCCCTGTCCTGCCACAGCTGGAGCTCTCACTGCAGTCTACTACTTGCATCAGCCAACGCAAGTACCTGTGGAGCTGGATGCCTGAAGTGATCGAGGCTTTTAAAGAAGTCTTTAAAGGAACAGAAAGAGCGGTACAGAAGCGAGAGCTTCTTAAGCTGGCTTTGATGCCAAGAAAAGCCACGTTGGATCATGTTCCTCTGCTACAGCAGAAAGAAGAGTGAATACAAAAGTTAACCTACCACAGCTTCACCTCAGCAGCCTGAGGGATCAACAGAAAGCGCATGAGGACCGACAGCAGCCCTCTGGAGTCGGGGCGCTACCCCACACAGCTCTTCAGGGAAGGTCACATCAGCTCGTTTCACGCAGCCTGCACTGTGGAACCACTGCAGTGTGGTGGCTGCCATTTGCACTAGCATGAGAGATGTCTGCTTACTCAATGGAAGGTGCAGGTGATAAATTTTAGGAGTTGCCTTCGCACTTCTACAGAAGACAACCTTCAGTAAAAGATAATGTAACATAATCCAATAGGATACAACTCAGAGGAAAAAATGACGTGAATAGTATTGAACTCAAGCATATAAATAATCTTAACTGGAGGCATTAGTTGCAGTTGTAAGCAATTAAAGCTACAGTGCACAGTAACATTTTAGGATAAGCTCAAGTAGTTTGTTAATTTGAAGGTATCTGGTACTAAAAACTTGGGATGGGAGTGAAGAGGAATAGCAGCTAAACTTCTGAACCCTATAATAAATGAAGTTGGAGATCCTGAACACGAAACACAGCACACTGCAGTAGACTTGGTCAAGTCACACCACAAGCCGCTTTTAGCTGCTTTTAAAAATTCTAGAAAACACTTTTGCAGTTTAAATATACTTACCATTTGGGTACACACACAGGAGAGCTGGCATCGATTAGAATATGTCATCATCCTTTATAAATACTACTTCAAAATTTATAAACTTAGCAGCCTTCAAAAGTAATAAAGCAACAAATAAATTAGACCAATTGCATACATACATGAGCTGCTTGGCCGATAGTGAGCCCCCGGGTACCGCCTGCCCATAGTGCCAGTCAGCACATTACCACACGCTGTCAGCTGCTTTCAAAGTACAGATCGAAACGCTTAACTGAGGGAGAAGAAAAAAAAAAGTGAAGATTTAGTACAACAGCTGTATCTTTTTCATTAAAATGCTAATGACCCTTACAAATTTCAGGATAACTACATCTATAAATTATTCATAGTCATGTTGTCAGAGGAGATGAACTGTTGTGCTATACATGCAGCACAAATTTATTATTAGTGGTTGGCCTCCATTAATAAGCTCACATAAATTCTAAGGCACAAAGAAGTCTCAGGTCATACAGTAGCTTCTTTTGGCCCATGATACAGACTGAACAACAAACACTGCAAGAAAGAGTTCGCTTCTGGCTTTAAATACAGTTAGCCAGTAGGTGAGATTTAGTAACAATGTCATCTTAAATTCTGTGAAGCAATCCTTAAGCAACAAGTTTATGAACAGTTTGCTATAGAAGCAAAACTTAACCGTGCTACATAGCACTGATTGCTTTGAATCTGTCCCTAAAAACCAAAGTGTCAGGAATGCAGGCTATTTACTAGTGTGTCAGTTTTCTTGAAGTATCAAAAACCCAAGCAGACAAGAAACGCATGGCACATCTTATGGTCAGTTTGGAATAACAAATCACAAATCCAAAATCTTAACTGAAATGCTACTGAACCTGTCAAATAACTAGCATAAAATCTTTTAGTCTAAAAACAAGTCCCATTTTTTTCTTTCTTCGGTGTAAGATTTTGTACTAAAATACAGCTTTCAGCTGATTTTGAGCTTTACCTTTTTCTTAGTCTATCTGAAGAGCCTTCATGTTCCCAGATGTCTTCCAACACACATTGCATGTCAACCACACAATTTAGAAAGATACATTTCCTTTTAATTCATTCTCTGCCTTGCTGGAAGGACCAAAAAAGCAACGAATTCTGGGGAGTGTTTTTCCTTACTCATTAAGGATTTTTACTGTCTCAGGCTGCAGCTACAAGTGCAAGCTCGTTCTATCCAGGAAATGGAGAGAAATATCAGCACATAGATGAAATAGCACTGCACTGAAACTGCGAGATTTCCACAAATCTTCAGATACATCAGTTCCCTGATTGAGCAGAACACCAGTTTACCCCTGAATTAGATAACCCTTTTATATATATCGGCATCCACGCAATTTTCCAGTGAGCTGGTCTGAGAGCCAACACAGCTGAAAACTCCACATAAAGATGTATTTTCAGCTGGATTAGGCTCCTGAACTGGCTCACAGTGGCTGCACTAGTATTGGTAGCTAGTGAGGGCAAGTGGAAAGAACAGGACCATGGCAGCCTGTGCTTAAAATGCAATCACATAACATTGCTACAGCCTCTGTGGATTACTTCTGAAATACAGACACCTACAAGGCTGCATATCTGACAGTGCAAAAAACAGGTAAAGATCTCTATTATTTCCCAAATCAGTGCTGACAAAGCGTGTCCTGTTCAACTCTCCCCAATGGCGAAAGTTCAGTGAATCTATGAGACGGTACTCTCTTGCAACAAAAAGGAGAATTCTGGCTGTTAAGATGAAAAGTGAGTAGCAAACAGTAAAATTAACATTCAGTCAAAAACCCCTGCATTTCTTTTGCAAGGCAATATGGGACAACTCCTTGCCATGGGCCAAACAGACCTTTTCAAACTTCTGTGGGGGCCTACTAATTCAACACATCATAATGTTGTGCAAGGAAAAAAGTTGCAGATGGCTGCTTCCCCTTTCCTGATCTATAGGAATAAAAAAACCCCATAACTTATTTATTAATAGAAAAAATTAAGTCTCCCATCACCCCAAATTAATTAACATTTTTACTCCCCTCAAATACCTATGTACCAAGTTCATAATTCATAGGAGAATACAACAGAACAGTCCTCAGCTGTGCAAGGATTAAAAAAAATTTACTGAGGGGAAACAAAAATTGTAACCAGATGACAGTACTTACAATTATTTTCCCTAGCTTGTGAAAGAATTTTATCAGTATCATAGAATCATAGAATCATTAAGGTTGGAAAAGACCTCTAAGACCATCGAGTCCAACCATCAACCCAACACCACCATGCCCACTAAACCATGTCCCTAAGCGCCTCATCTACACGTCTTTTAAATACGTCCAGGGATGGTGACTCAACCACTTCCCTGGGCAGCCTGTTCCAATGTTTAACCACCTCTTCAGTAAAGACATTTTTCTTCATGTCGAATCTAAACCTCCCCTGGTGCAACTTGAGGCCGTTTCCTCTTGTCCTATCGCTAGTTACTTGGGAGAAGAGGCCGACCCCCACCTCGCTACAGCCTCCTTTCAGGTAGTTGTAGAGAGCGATGAGGTCTCCCCTCAGCCTCCTTTTCTCCAGGCTAAACAACCCCAGCTCCCTCAGCTACTCCTCGTAAGATTTGTTCTCCAGACCCCTCACCAGCTTCGTTGCCCTTCTCTGGACACGCTCCAGCACCTATGTATGTATGGAGCTGCAAAATTATTCATTTTTCATAAATGCATTCTTATCTTTCTACAAAGTATACACTTTTCTAAAGCAGTAACACTCACTAAATTATATCACATGTTTATACCTGAGACACACTATTCCTTCCCTACGTAGCAGCACAGCATTAGAGGGAGCCTTCTGCACCATACCATAATAAAAAAACCCCTAACAAATTAAAAATCCCAAACCCCACAATTATGCTCTTGAACAGCTGAATTAGAGTACAGTTTTCCTAAAGAAGTGTGCCCACCATGGGAATAAACCACTCTTAGGAGAGGCCAGGTGGGGACCCAAAGGTATGACCATTTTAAATATCACATTTTAAAACCCCAGAAATCTCAGTGGAAAAGACATCATAAAGATATATTCTCATTATAGCAAAGGTTTCATCAGTTACTGTATAAAATGGGAACTGCAAAGACTTAAAGCCTGGATTAAAACCAACTATCAAAAGTCAATTTATAAGCAAGTGCCACACAGTAAGTGAACTGCCCTGCAAAACAACAGTGATACTGGACTGTACATAGCAGCAGGGACATACCCAGATCAAGACAAACAAAGGTGCTGCTTGGGTTTGTTTTTTTTTCTTTTTTTCAAGAACCATCTTTGAATTGTGACCAGAATAGCCAAAGCAACCTGCCTTTTAAACACATCTGCTCACGCAGATGAATCTCAGAAGGACTCCTGAGCTTCAGCAAGCTCAGGGAACTCCCCCAGAAATGTAAGTGACCTTGTTGGTATCCAAATGCCATTGCTAAAGCATCTGAAAACTAGCACTTATTTTCCATATACATCCATGACAACAGTAAACAAAATGGAAGAAGGTCTCAAATATTCCTTTCAAAAGATCCAAGTACAAAATATGTACAGGCTTGGGTTTTGTTTTTAAATGTACACAACTTAAATATCCACAACTGCACATAAGTCTGAGTTAAACCTCAATGTTCCTAATATGTCAGGTTAGGTCTTCCTAGTATTAGGTTTTAACCTGCTCGCTCACATTTGTTTTGTAACAAATGTGTTTTGTAACAGCTTTCTGGGTTTTTTGATTATTATTCTACTGCAAAATTGCTTTAAAAATGTTTTAGTGATTTTTACATCTTTATAGTTAAATTAAAAACCATATATACACAAATGCACATATAGCTTTATAGTTTCTCTTCAAGAAATGTTTTGATTTGGCTCTGCCTGAAGATTTTTTTTTTTGTCCTTTCTTGATGATCTTCCCCGATTCGTTTCAGGTGACCAGCCCCACTCCAAGCAATTACAGATAACCATGGAAACAAATCCTGAGCACTATCACTGCATACCTGCCACCCAGGGGAGCACCTGAAAGCACTATCCACTTCACCTCATGCCAAGTCTTTTCTAGGAGCTGTGGTGACAGAGCTACCAGCTACTCATCATCGCACATAATGAGGGCATAAATCATCTTGCAGAGAGGCCTGCCATGACTTTCAGCTGAGGCTGTCATCTTCCTAAGTCATTTTCTTTACAGAGCTTCTTTTGTTGCAGGTCTTTTACATTTCTTAGTTTTCATAACTGCTACATAAGAGTTTCATTTTACTTGTATTAATCTTTTGACACTACTGAAAAAAAAGAAAAAACCTAAATTCTGGTGCTTATTTTTTTTTTAAAGAGAGAGTCAAACCAAGAGTTATGTCCATATGGCAGGCACATAGGATCATGTTTGCTTGAACTAATTCCATTATCTTTTGTTTGAGGACAAACAACTCATAGTCCAACCTCCATACTTTTAATGGACACTAAACCTTTTTGGTGTTTCACCCAAATTTATTTGTTCACACATGCTGCTGCTTATGAGGGTATTAAATAGCTGACTCCTTGACCTTCCCTAGTTCTCTACAAGCAATGTTTGCTATAAATACATGTGTGTTCAAACAAAACTATAAGTACATTCATATTGGCTGCTATAATCTCATACAATAAATTGCCAGCAGACCTACCCTCACATGCCCAAGAAAAACCATACAAAAAAGAAAAAAAAAAAGAGATGACTGCAAATTATCTACAGCAGTCATCCAAGTGTGACTGACTACATCATTTAATGCTTGCAAGGAACAGCTACACACAGCAGGGAAAGAAAAAAGGTTATTGCATTTAGTTTCTCAAGGGACACCTACTCAAGAACTTACATTCCACTATTCTCGGGGTGATATTCTGACAAACAACACAATCCCACCTTTAAAGTCTTGCTTTGAATACCAGGAAATTGCCCTGCTGGGGAATGGGTAAGAAGAATGCTTTGTATTGTTTTAAAACACCCAGGGGCCACAAGTCCTATACGAAATAGGCCCACTATAGCAAAGGGTTCACGCACTGAAAGAGACTGATTTAAAAAAAGAAAAAAAAAAGAAAAAAAAAATCAGCCTGTAAGGCTGGTGGATGGCTCATTTTGAGATAAGAAAGTGTATTTGTATATACACGTAAGTTTTGTATATGTATGTACATATTTGCATATATAATGCAGATATGCTTCCCATCGTCAACTGCTTCTCACTTTGCCTGCATTCAGAGCAGCCACTCAAAGCATCACCTCCATC